TTGATTGTACAGCTTACACATACACACATTATCAGTAAATGAAAGAAAGACTCGATCAAACAGGGAGGTCCAGGCAAGGTGGACAGGACACAGTCGACCAACAATTTAGAAATAAAATCAACTAACATTTTGGGGCAATAAACAAACATTTAATTACAACAAAACTCATGAACTGATAGAAAAGAAAACAAAAATACCTGAAATCTTGAAAAATCAGCAAACCCTAGCTCGGATTTGAATTGATCTTTCTTAGGGTTGAACGGACTTTAATCAAAGTTTTCTCAAATGAGAAACACTTCGATTAAGGTCCATTAGACCCTAATCACTTGGCTCAAACGGACACAGATCAGTCATGAAGAATCCTAGGGCTCCTAAAGGCAGATTTAGGATTTATGTTTCCCTGGTTAGATTCGGACCAAACCAAGCATGGTTTGGTCACGAGGGAGGTTAGAGGAGGGCCTGGTATGAACCTGGGGTGGTTTGGTGTAGATCGAGTTTTGCTCGAATCTTCAAATGAAGATTCGAGACCCTAGGGTTTGATTCGAGGCCAAAGGACAACAGATCTATGTTCAGAGTGGTGAGGCGGTCCTATGGTGTTAAGGTGGGGGTCACCGGCGTCCATGCCGTCGGGATTAATGGTGAGGGGAAAGGGGGCGGCTAGGGTTCAAAAGGGTTGGTCTGTGGTGAGGACGATGAAGGGGGGGTGCTTGGATGGGGCGTGGGGTAAGGTTTTAGGTTTATATAGTTAATGAGTGAATGGATCCTGGCCGTCGGATGAGGCGAGATGAAAGGCCAAGATCTTTCAACTGGTGGGGAACGATGTCGTTTCAAATGCCAGGGTTTGGGTTGGTTTGGGGGTTGAACGGGTCGGGTTCATGGGCGTGACCTGAGGCCGTTGGATGGGATTGGATTGTAACGATTGAGATTAGACGGCCTCATACGGGGTCGTTTGAGTAAAGGATTGGCCAGATTTGGGCCGTTCCTTTGAATCAATCGACGGCTCAAAGAGATGATGCCTATGCGGCGTCGTTTGGGTGTCTTGCAGAGGGCCTGGTTGGACTGGGTCGTTTTGGTTTGGGCTTGTTCCTATTTGAATTGGATTGGCCCAATCCGAACACCCTTTTCTTCTTAAATCTCTTAATTAATTTGTCAAGTAATACTATAAAAACAAAATTAACACATAATTAACATTTAATTAAAATAACATCACTTAATGACAAAAATGAAAGATGCATTTTTTGCGATTTTTCCTTTTAATAACCGGATTACGGTTCAACTACACACGACACATTTTTTGTATTTTGTTTTTAAAAAATAAAAATGGGCAGAATCACAAATAATTAGCAAAATGCCACGTAAAAATCCAAAAATTGTACAGTAAGACCATTTGCTATTATTTTTATTTATTTTGGAGTGATTGTCGCGTAAAACAAAAATCACGTGCTCACAGACTGCACTTGTATTTGAGTCACCATTCCCTTTCCTTTTGTTTTTGAAATCTTTTGAATAGCCAACTACCTTATAGCAATTTTCTTTGCTATGTCCCTTCATCTTGCAAACCTCATAGAAGAGATATGCATTCCTTCTAAACCTTTGATTAAATTCCGAGATCCTCCAGTTTTAGAATACATTGCTGCTTCATAACTTCCCATCTGAATTGTAGGATTAGCACCTAGAATTTCTGAAGTTGCAGCTACAGATTTTTGTTCTTCATCACTAAAAATTAAGGTATATGCCTGATTAATAGTAGGAGTAGGACATCACATCAGAATCTGACTTCTTGCTTGTGAATAAGAGTCGTTTAGTACCATCAAGAATTGATATAGTTTCAATTTCTGACAATAAGCTACAAATTCTCTTGATTTTGGACAATTACAACCTGGAGTTGGCACTAGTACTTCAAACTCTTCCCACAGATCTTTTAATTTTGAGAAGTATATTGATACAAATGTTGTTCCTTGTGACAGTGTAGAAATTTCTTTGTGAAGATTAAAGGTTCTCGAGCCATCAACCTTGTTGAATCTTTTAGCCAGATCTTCCCATACCACTTGTGCACTAGACGCATACATGATTCCACCAAGTAGCCCTTTTGCAACTGAATTCATAATCCAAGAAAGAACAATTGCATTCACTCTTTCCCAATGATTCCATATCATTTCTGGAAATTTTTCTTTGTTGCATGTGCCATCTATTAGCCCCAACTTGTTCCAACCTTGCAATGCAACTCTCATTGATCTGAACCAAATAGAATAGTTCACTATTCCAATTAATTGGAACGAAATGATCTGAATCTCACTCACATCCGCAGGAGACAACAATAAGGGATGATTGTAGTCAATTCTATTGACTTGATTCCCTTGATTCAACCCAGATTGTGTTGCACGTTTATTTTGAAGATGATTTCCTGGTGGTTGAACCACAACTTCGTTATTTACTACCATTTTTATTTATCTTGCTCAAGATTTTGATAGATCAAACGCAGATTTTTTGGAAACAACAAGAAATGTTTCTGACTTGAATTTTGGATTGTGATGGAGCTACGATTATGTATCGGATAGCTCTGATACCATGTAATTGTTAGCTAAACAGAGATGAAACACTTGATTGAATATCAATCAATGTAGTAAGAGAAGCGGAAGAACAGTTAGAAGAAGCAGAGGAACAAATATGAAGAAGAAGAATAAGAAGAAGTAGAGAGTCAGACGATAGAGAGAGAAATAGTGGAGAGTATTATTATTTTCTTTCAAAGTGTATTCTTTACAATGTGATGTTATTTATATATATATATAACAATTCCTTAAGCCTCATCTAACTAACTCTTAATCCTAACTTAACTAATTCTTCTAACAACCATTAACAGCTTTAACTAACTTATAACAGTCATACAAAGACTATTTTGCCCTCACTTTATTTAACACTCCTTCTTATTCTTTATAATTTAGTTACTTAATGTTGTTTATCATTAATATTAGCATCTGAACTTTGAGATTACATGTTGTAATTATTCACTCATCTTCAATAGAGAATTGCAAATCGACAGTGAGAAGACATTATGAAACCCTTCTGACAGACTCATTTACAGTTGAGTTGAACTTTCCTGGTTTCTCTTGTACTTATTTGGCTTCTTTTTCTGTTAATATATTTGCAAGGCAACCTGATCAGTGGAAGTCGAGACAAGCATCACAACAATCTGCTCTCAAAGAATTTTTTGCTACATTCGGACCAACGAAAACCAAATCACTTGTAAAGGAGAGCTTTCTTGCTGATACTCATTCCAAACCAAAGCAAGAAAAATTGAAAGACATTAGGAAAGAGATCAAGACAACTTTGGCTTCTTCCAAAACATCTAATACCCCCTTTTTGGCTAATCAGGTTTCCAAAAAAGTGAAAAGGTCGAAAGATGAGAAGAAAAGACATACAAGAGATGGTCAGTGAGAATCTAAAAGAAAGTAGATTAAAGTTTAACTGTAATGTTTTTAGGTTCTTTATTGAATTTTACATTATTATGAATGATCAGTTTTGGTCACTTTATGTTGTTTGATCAGAAAGGCATGGACCTGACAAAGTCTTTCATTCACTAATTGTCATTGTGATTACAACAAGAATATATATAAGGAGTTCCATGATCTATAAGACTCCTAAGTCTATAGACATACAGAGAGCAATATAATACAAGTCTGTATACTATAGGGAACCTAAACCCACTATAAATAAATAACTTTAACCAAGATTCTAGTTGACCTAGGATTATCCTTTACACGCCCCCGCAAGCTGAGCATGGGTAAGAACCACTGCTAACTTGGTCTTCAACCGTAAGAACCTGTTCTTTGACAAAGGCTTCGTCAATACATCAGCAATCTGGTCAAGGGAGCTTACATATCGAACATATAAGGACTTTGCTCGAACTCGCTCGCGAACAAAATGAAAATCAATTTCCATATGCTTTGTCTGAGTGTGAAAGATGGGATTGTTGGGAAGCGTGTCAAGATAATAGAAGGAAAAGGATATTTAGGAGAGAAACAATAAATTGCACAAGACAAGATTTATGTGGTTCGGCAATNAGACAAGACAAGATTTATGTGGTTCGGCAATTTTTACCTACTCCACGGCCACACAAAGAATAGCTCTTTATTAATTGAAGAGAGAAAGAAGAAGTTTTGGATGTTCTACAAATAAAAATGTAGACCCCTATTTATAGGCATTTGAATGCCCTGCCGAGGTAAGCGCT